TGACCTATTTGGCTATTTTGACTTATATTCTATTATATAAGCATTATATATAAGTATTATATAATTTCAGCTATAAATATTTTACCGCATATCTCTAATATGATATAATAAACTGAGTAAACAAAAACTGTAATATAATGCTGGAAAATCAACAGCAGAATGCATCACAATTACGGAGAGAATAAATACCAGGTGCGCCATCTGGCGTTACACGTCTGAAACTTTGAAACTAGAAAGTTTCTGGTCTGTATTCGTAGATAGGTAAGCTAAGTAGCTATCATTACTCATTAGGTTATTAGTCACCAGTCAGTTCGCGTGAAATTACACTTAGTAATTTTAGAAGAAAAATTCAATAACCTTCATACCACATTCATAAAACTATACGTGGTTTAAATCTGTCGTAAAATACTTAAATTATTTTTATAATTTATTAAAGAAGTTGAATAAATCTCTTAGGCATCGTTTCTTCTATCGCAAACATATTATTTATTCCCTTGTCATTGTCCCCAAGGTCTGCTGCTCCGTATTAAAAAAAAATGTTAACCAAATTTTCGAAGATTCAGCTCGCAGTGATAATCGTCGTAATACCATTAATATCAGGCTACAAAGTTGTTAGAGATCTACTTCGCAATAATCTTTAAGAGACGGTAGTCTCTACTTAAATGTCACAATTGAACACTATTGCGCCATCTGTCGGAGAATATGAGACTTTTCTTGCTATTCTCTTAGTTTTAAGTTGGATTTTCATAGACTTAATCATTCATGTTTCTACTGAGCTTTTTTTTATTAGGTACTTATTTCTAAATTTAATTAAATGTTATGTGAACCATTAATTAGCGATTTTTATTATATTGTCAATTAATTATAAGCTAAGTCCCGTGCAAACAAGTTTTATTGCAGCAATCATCTGCAACGCTCTAATCTGTATAAAGGTGGGCCCATAACTATAAAATGTATTCGTGTATTGGTCGCGCACGCTCGAACAGTTTGATTGGGCCCGAGTTATTAGCTGCTATTTGTATTGTCAATGTTTATGACTATTTTATGTGTACGTACTGGCGGTTTTATTACACATTCAATTGCTATAGTGACGGATTTGATTAAGTAAAGCTGTCGTTACGTTGTGTTTGTCAACGAGAAATGATTTTTTATTGCCTTCATTGGATTCGTATTAGGCCTATATGTTATTACAGAGTGGATTAATTTTATATGCGGTATAACAATAAACAAGTTGATCAGCCATTAAAGTTAGAATGAAATAAAATTAAGCAATTAAAATAAAATCTTTATCTATGTATTAAGAACTTCCTTCCATGCGTATTTTGAAAAATATCAGGATATATTGTAATTCATATCTAACAAAAAAGCTTATAAAATAACCATACGAAATGTTTATTTTGTACTGTGATCCTGTATGTATATATATATATATATATATATATATATATATATATATATATATATATATATGCTTACAAGGTGGTAAATCTCGTTTTCTGTTCAAGAGTCCGTCTGTTCTTCAGTTACTATCTTACCTATAGTTACCTGCCGCCGGACAGCAGTGTACCCACAGAGGCATTTCATATTATAGGTTAGATTACCAGCTTATTATAGGCTGTGAGGCATTATACCTTAATCCTCAATAAAGTAACGTAAAGAATTGGTTTCGCCTTTGAGCACAGACTATTTCATTTCTGGTTTTCGGACTTAACATGTCCTCGGACTGGAACATATTTTCTTCGCAGTCGAACACGTGCATTAATATTGCAATAACAAGTTCACTTATGCCGGCGGGGATCGAACCCGCCTTGCTCACGTACTGAGAAATTTACAGCAAGCGTTTAGCCTCTGAGTAACAAAGACTTGTGTGTCCTCAGAGATGAAATATCAGTCCGTCTTCTTTATATGAAGTTGTCCGATGTCTATGGGAGGCGGCAGTCACCATCGGGTTGATTGTTAGCGAGTTTGTCACTCTAATATAAAATATTTATCTACGTAGACATTTTAGCAATAGATCATTTAGACAAAGTAAGGAGTAGTGAGTAGAAGCGTATAGAATTAAGTAGAATAAAATATAATACTTGTAGTAAAAGATTCAGGACGGTGCTTTGTGATATTCCTTACGGGAGGTCTATTCAGCAGTGGACTTATCAAGGGCTGTAATGATGATCATGATGATATATTTATTACAAGAACTTTTATTGAAAGTCGTATATGCTTTTACCATTGGTTCGGAGGAACCTCTGTTCTGGGAAGATAAAGCAAGAAACTCATACGTTTGTACCATTAAATATGTAAGCATTTAGAGACACACATATTCACGGGAGTTATAATCAAACATCTATAGTAGTATAATGCTAAACAATTTTTGCTGAGCAAAAGTTTTAAACTTTTCGATCAATGGGTCCTGCTTATTTTCTGGTACTTTGTTGTAACAACGAATACATTGTCACATAAAGGAATTTTCGACTCTTTAAAATTGAGCAATTGTAATTATGTAAATATGAAATTTTCATCAAACTATTAACAAACATAGTATTGTACTCGTCCCTGGATTTGTATCTTCATTTACTTCCGACAATGACGACTTTTAGTGTTGCCAAACCGTCGATAATGATAGATTTATGGGAAATAATAAACTAACTGCAAACAAATTTCAATGTTTGATCGCCTATTGGTCAGTTAGAAATAAATTTATGTTTTGTCACATATTTTAATTTTGCTCTTAGATATAAGTATCTAGGATTTTAGTTTTCGAAATAAACTTAGATAAAGCTATAAAAGCCCCATTTATCTTGGAAGTATTTCAATGAGTCCATTAATTAAACTTCGGTTTTAATTAAATTAAATTACATAGCTGCATAATAGAGGGTTCTGTATCTAATGTCTCTCTTAAAACTCGAAAAAAGCGGTTTCTTTATTAGCCGTTAAGCATTGTTTAAGAGTTAAAAGCAGAAGGGTGAGACCCTCCTGGGTGTTCGAGTTTTACCGAATCGTTATCGACTTTTTCCACATTTTGCTTGTAATTCATTTAGAAATATTGTAATTTAAGTTCCTTTTGAATTTAATGCCCTTTAACTGAATTTAAGTAGTATATTTGTAAAAAATATTTAAGTTGTTATTAATGATATGTGGGTTTATAGATTGAAAATAAAATACCTTAAAATAATTACTTTTGGATTCAGGTTGTTTGATTCCAATGGTGATGAAATAAAATAGATTTCTTTGAAATAAAGATTTAATTACAATTGTTACATAATTTTACTCATAATAATAATTAATAGGTACATATTCTATAAATTTCTATATAGAACATTTATTATTAAGCGAATGTATTCGATTTGGTCATATCATTTTAAACACGTCCTTTTCTTATCGCTTTTTAATGACCAGCCTCTGAAATATTGCATTATACGATTCCTGTATATTGGCCTACAGTTGTAATAGGAAAATAAAAATCACTAAACAAAACATGTCACACCTAGATCTGAAATTATACATTTATTGCTACGAAGACTGCTTATTGTTAATGAATAATAAATTATCTTAAAAAATCTATCATCAATCGATGTACACATGTCCGTGTTACAAAAAAGTTTCGTAGAAATGTATATTATCTTTTTGATTTAACAGCATCGATCTATTACCACTACCTGTTACAATACGGTGTCGACAACCCGCAACTAAAAGGTCTTACGCGAGGGTCAGTCTCACATCTCGTTTCTATGTAAAACAGGTTTGCTACGGGGAGTGACAGTCACATAAACCCCAGTGCAATACTCGAAACAACGAAATATCATCAGTAGTCAAATTACCAAGCGACGTCAATCAGCATTTTTTTTAAATAATGATTCTTTTTTTCTATATACGAATACGCTCAGTAAGCGTTTTTAAATACATTTTTACATTAAATAACATATCAATGTCAATTTCTTGATAAATCCTTTTGCTTTGATTACTCACTCGAGTTTCTTTACTCTTACCGACACAATATTGCATTCAAACTGATTGCGATCGATTTTAAAATAAAGTATTATTCAGAATATATATTATGTACAGGTATTCTAATAATACTTTAAAACAATATTTATAATATTTTCGAAGTGTGATGTAACAACGTCGAAAGTTGCAAAAACATACTAATTACTTTGTACACATCTCGTGAAACTAAAATAGAAAATCTACAAAACCTTCTTATTATATGTACAAGGACAACAACAATTATCAATACCGACAGTTACAAATCGATTCATAGATAAAAGATATTAACAAAAATAAACAAGTTATTGTTGTAAATATTAATAATATCGTTCCAGTTGCAGTGTTTGAAACTTAGTGATCCATTTTCTACTCTATTTTTATTGTACACTTATTTCTACTAAAACAATTATACTCATCAGCTGTTGAGTACAGTGGCGAGAAACATCCGCAAAGGAAACAAGCTTTGGAAGAACTAATAGGAGGAAAATCATAAAATATTATCTTAACTTAAACATTCCTTTGTGGAATTAGACATTCACTATAATTCACTAAATCCAATAACTAATTTTGTTTTGCACGTACTTTCAATTGCGCCTTTTGTGAATTTAGTTTTATAAATAATTTGGATATAATAATTCCATAATATTCTTAAACCTATAAAAATACTGAGCAACGTTGATTTCATACAATGATTTTAAGTACTAAGGACAACCGCCGATATCTAGATCACATGAAATAATTTTTTAAGTACGAATTAACGAAATACTTTATACAGTATAGGAAAGAATTTTTAATAAAAATATTATGTACTTTACCGAAATATAATTATGTATATATCAAAAAAAAAACAATAAAATTTACATCAATTTTACAAATAAATTCTCAATTACGCCAAACTTTATCTTTCACAAATTTATGCAAGACAAGCCTAACTAACGAACGGAAACACTTTTGCCACAGTAAAATTCGATAGTCACTAAGATTTGTGGGGCAGTGCGGCGTCCCAGCTTTCACGAACTTTACCTGAAACAATACAAATATACATATTTATATTATCTAAATACACAAAGAGAAAAGAATCTAAAATATCAAGCCTGTTTACGAAACCAGCGTATTTAAAGATAAAGGTCTCCTCTATAAAAAATAGCGGTATTTAAATTATCCAAAAAAAGTCCAAATCAATAGGTGTTCCGATTCTATCGCAGCATCGCCGGAGCCAGCCCTCCGCGGCGTTCACACATAACGGCCGAAAAAGAAAAAATACAAACCAATCGAGATGAGGTGACGAAACGTTCAGTCTCATTATCTGAGAATTTATTAACGAATCGCTCGGACCGGAAAACCGAAATGTGAAAGAAATAAAAATTCGACCTCGCCCGCGGTCATCTAAGCTTGTGGTACGGCGTCAATGAAAAAAGAAGTCGAACAGGTTGGCCGGACGACTTGCGACTGAATGAAACAGGGAAGGACCCGAGGATCAAGAGATAAGAGAAAAGATTAAGGTGTTGAAAAAAGTAAAGCGGCTTTGATGCTGAGGTAGTGTCGTGAATGAAGAGGCCCATTGAGATCGCACCCACGCACGTTCGCCGTGCGTTATCTACCTCGAAGGACCAAGCGCTGCCGTGCGTCTTCACCTCACTTCCACTTCTCAACAAACAATACTCATTGTACATTCATAAATTAAAGTTTTTTGTCTTAACTGCATACAATTCTCGCTTCCTATTATTCAAATGAGATACGCACAAGATTGGAATTAGGATTAGGTGTGTCGTAGATTACAAGAGTATTACTGATTTTCTGTAGTTGGGTTACTGCGATTTATTGTAACTTAGTACAATTTCTTAGTCTTTGGAATATTTAATAAACAAATTAATTATGTAGTGACTTATTTTATTCATTTCATTATATAATATTTAAGTTTACTATTTAGTCTTATATTCCATTCTCTTAAATAAACCGCGCCGTAGCACTAACAGTACAAAGTAACAAAGAATTATTAACAGGATAAAATGGAAATAAACTTTGTTAGGGAATGAAGCTCCGATTTAGTAGCGATAATATTTGGCCGAATAAAAACGACACAGGTATGTTACCTACTTAAAAGCAGAAAACAAGAACTGTCGTATCGATTCGTTCTTTTTTTGGCTCCTTTAAAGGAATGGCGCGATAAGGAGTTATATTCGCGTCAAGGAATCTGAAGGGACAAAAAGGCGTGAAAACGAAAATAATACAAAAAATTATAGATGTGAATTTGTGAGCTTTTGGCTAAAACAAAATTCCTGGCGCAACCGTCCTGTGCGGCGGCGTCCACGTCGCGATTTATTGTAATGAGGCAAGGATACCGCCGCCCCTTCTTAGAAATCCCTCGAAGTCTCTTAGAAAAATGCGTTTAAGTGACCCGAAGAGTGGGTGAATAGAATTTGTCTTCACACGCTGCCGAATATCCTGACTACCTCACCGAGCTAGATCACTTAATGAAATATTATTTTTATATATTATTTTTATTTCTAATAATGTTTATGTTTATAAACAATTTTCTACACGGTTTTAGGTCGGTTCTAATATGGGTTATGTTTTAAATTTAGAATTACCTTACCGATAACCTTATGTAGAATTTCTGAAGGAATTAATTAATTCATTAAACTTTTCATAAGGGTTGCGTGACGCAACGGTTAAATTCCTGGCTTCATAATTGTATTGCGAGGATCACTCCACGCAATACAAGTATGTTAATAATATTTTCTTAGTTTTACTGAAAACTAAGAACATATTATTATCCGCGAAGTATCAGATGTCACAGTAAGATCTAATTTGGGCAGGTCAGCGTAGTTAGCGTCGTACGTAGGCAAGCGGTGCGCGTCTCTGTGACACTGACAAATGACGCAAGATTGCAATCTCGCCGCCCTCGCACCGCCTCGCTCGCCCTTCCGCCTCGCCTCCATTGTTTTCAATTACCTACATGACACCCCGGCGTGAGGCTGCGCTACCAAGCCGCAACTCTGTTTATGGCTTTCTCGATATCTTTACTACGATCATCCATTTACGGCCGCGTCCCTCATTTACATGTAAGTCCCGAAGCGAGCTCTTAGCATCATCAATTTGAATCAATCAGTAACTCACCGCTAGTAGAGCGCGGACCGCTCTCAGATGGCTGACACGAAACCGTTGGAGTTGTGTAGGGAACTGGAATAGGAAACATTCACTCTTTTCACGTGTTATTGCTTTTTTAAATTGTGCTTTGCAGTTTCACGATCTTATTATGTCGAAGAATCCATTTTAAGTGTGGTATAAGATTTTGTTTAATTTAAACCTGAGGAGACCTAATTTACTTAAGGTTTTTAGCAAGAGGTGAATAATAATAAATAAAAGAATATTAACCTTTTATAGAAGGGCTTAAAGGCGGCTGATCCTTCATTGTGATGCGGCTGGTTGGGCTGATGGTTGTTAGCGTGGTGGGGGTTGTGGTAGGGATCGCGCTGCGGCGATTGTTGGTGCCGAGGGAAGCAATAGCCGGAACCACCTCCACTACCAAGTGGATTCGCGACACTCGGTACTTTCATATTGGGCGGCGTTTGTGGTGGTGTATCAGTCTGGACATCGGGGAAAGCGGCTGGATGCACACAAGGGTGTTGGCCGTATTGGCCGCTTGGGAAGCCACCGTAGCGACCGTATGCCCCACTAGCCGGGCTCGCAGCCGCCGTCGCCGGCAAAGCGAATCCGTTGGCACTGCCATCCACTGGAACCGCGCGCTCCGGCCCAGGTCCGTACGAGTGCTGCGGCCAAGGTTGCGCTGCTGGTGGTGGTGTTTTACAAGCAGCTGTGTCCGCCAGCGACCATATCTTCGGTTTAGACGCGGGTATCGGTACGCCACAATCTGATGTACCGCGCTTTGATTCCTCCTTGATCCCGTAGCCAAGAAGCTGATGGTGCATCCCCTGCAGCAGCTCGTCGCCCTTGCGCTCCTCATCTGTAAAGATTATACATTCACTGATCATATCTAATGTCCGACACGCGTGAGCGCACATAACTATAATCAGATTACGGGCTGCAAGCAACTGCTAGTAGCACAATGACAATAAAAAAGCTTAAATCGTTTATTTCCCGAAATCGATACGCGTATTGTGTCGACGTGACCGTTACACCGGGGACGTAAGTTTTAGCTACTAAGAAGCGAAATCTCGGGCTCCCTTCGGGGAAGTCGTGTGAAAATACGTTTGTCGTGCAGTGACCCATTCGTTAAGTGGTTATCCGATTAGCGAAGTGAAAATACCACTTTGGGGCGTAGCACCCCCGCCGCGGGCGCTGCGATCCCTTTCACATTTAAGCCGAGCATTTATTTCGCATTTCCCGGCGCGCCCGCGGCACCGCACTCCTCGCCGTGGAATGTGCGCCGCGACCCACGCAATTAATGGTCAACCTCTTCACGCTCTTTATTCTGTTTGCCTCTTTTCGTATAAATAGGTACATTTTTTCATTGACGACTCTGTGGTGCAGTGACTTAGCAATGACTTACAGCGTTGTGGGCCGCAAGTTTGAATCCCGCACAGAACAAGTATTTGTATGTACTATAAATCATTGTTCTGAAACTGGATATTTGTCCTTGTACAATTTATATATGTTAAATGCCTTCACAATTCAGGAGATAAATATAATATGAAGCTAACGTTTCAATTTAAAAAAAAGATTAGTTCCTTTTAGATATTTTGAATTGAACTGTTATAGAAGCAAGAATCCAAAATTATTTTAACAACAATGAGAATAATAAAGCTTACGGTTGTCCATAAAAAACGTTGTTATTGTGCAATTACAAAAAAAATGTTTATTCAGCAAAATTTTATAAGGTTCTAAGTATTATCATAATGCCATTTTCCGTTGTAAAGTGGGTTTCGGGGGACTCGGGGTGCGTAATGAAATTCAGAATACCGCGCGGGCGGGAGGCGCGACCGCTCGACTTCATTCTCTTTATTCCATTTAATGCTGACTGCTCCTAGCTTTTAAGAGGGGTTATCCGTGTTGCCCTTCACTAGGGATAAATAGGGATGCCACTGATACTCGGCGCGGAGATATTTATCCGGCAAATTGTTTTAATTTTCATTGTATTAATCTAATAAAAGCCCACAACGGCGGAGATAAGAGGGAGTTCGACGATGCCATAATGTATTATTAAAATTACATTCGATTACATAGATACATTAATTTCTTTACTAATTGATAACCCTTTATTTAACTTTTTTGTGCCGTGAATAAAACAGTTATATTTGCGCACTTCCGAGAAATCTATTATACAATTTTAAAATAAATCAGGTAACGATCGATAGTTAAATAATAAGAAATAAAAATTGGTAGGTTCATGACGTTGTTTGTATGAAAGAAAGCGAGGTGTCGATGCTCGCGTATGCAAGCGATAGATTTATCTCGTCTGCTCGCGACATCGCTGCGGGGTTGAGGAAATTGTAACATGCCGTGCACTGAGTGGTTTTCCCCTTTAGTCACCAAAGCCGGGGGCGAAGTGGCGCATAATAAAATGCGTTTCGGCCTCGAGGGGCACCACTGAGCCCTAAGACCCTCTCACTCGCACTCCGACGCATCGTGCACTTCAGAGGAGGTCACTTCAATTTATTACTCCTACGAAACACACTTGCTTGTGTTACTTATGCACTCGTTTTCCATTAACGCGCACAGGATTAATATTTTGTTTGCGATGCGTGTGCTTACGACTGAAATTAACATTTATTGGTGGGGTCCAAATATGAGCTTTTATTCATGAGCGGCTTAGCGCGGGATAGTTCTGGATGTTTGTTTGTCGACGACGGCACGGGGATCGCGTGAGAAAGCTTTTATATTGGCTTTGTTTGCCGTGACTTAAAATGATATATTACACGTCGCTAACATTGACGTTTTAGTTAGGAGAATGGTTACGCATGTCGCACGATGTGTGTAATGTTTTGTTTATTGGAATTAAAGGTGGTGTATAAAACAGAAGGTCATAGTTAGTTAGAAACCTAAGTAATTCATTAAATAAAATTATATAATTTTCTATAAATGTATACGTAGTTCACTAGGGGTCATAAAGCAGGTTTGGTCAATATTTTTAATAGGATTTATTAATAATGTTTATATACTATTTCAAGTGAAGCAGTAGTGGCTTATAGTAATCGTATAGCATTATATTGTACTACCTGCATGTTGCAAACTAACCTTTAGTTCCGTTCAACGCTTCAGCCACTAAGTAATTTTACAGACCTCTCCCGTAATTCGAGAATAAAAGCCTAACCATTGCAATTATCTGAAAAGCCTGCATTTAAATTACAATATATTATTTCATGTGCATTTTGTACTCTTTGTTTTTGGAATAATGACTAGTAGGTATATTGACTAGCTTGACCACCTTGTTGGCCTAGTGATCGCATGCATGACTACTGTGTGTGTGTGGTTCCGGGTCTGAACTCCGAGACGGATTTAAATCAGAAGATCGAAAAATCCAGCAAGGATTTTTCTATCAAGAAATTGTCAGCAGCAGCCCGGGATCATGAAGTTAAATGAAAAACCCTTGTGTTTCGAAAACCACGTAAAGCCGTTTATTCTGCGCCTGATTTCTCTCCGGTTGTATCGGATTGCCGTCCAATCGGACTATGTGTGATGATGTGTGATGATGAGAGAGATAGAGAGTGCACCTGTGCTTGCACACACTCACGCATGAATTATAATCCTATCGTGCACAGTTGGTTATTCCACTTTGGGACTGACAATGAAGACGGAAATTCGGTTCGGAAAGAAATAATATATGTATATAGATCTACAGTCTAACTGATGTGTAGATAAGTGGATGCAGTAACTCATAGACATCTTTTAGGTATCCTTAAGAATCAAGATGCAAATGCGTTGTCACCTCTGAGGATTAAGATGGAATGCCTCGTGTAAAGGACGTGTTATCTATTAAATAATATTTACTCAGAACCTATTTTTTGAACGCGTTTGCAGTAAAAAAAGGTTTCCAGATCTCTACACTCACCTTATGAAACAGCCCTAAGTTGCTATTGTATGCTGGTATTCTATGAGAACGTGGAGTTAGATTTCTTTAAAAGAAAGTTAATGAATTTTATTGAGAATTTTTTAAAGTCGTTTACTACAGTATTTTCGTATGAAAGAATAGTGAAACAAAGCCGGTATAATTATACGCTGTGAGGTATTTCATCTTAATTATAATTAAGTATGATTAAAACTACTTTTACGGATTTTTTCGCGTTTATTTTCACTTTTTATTTACTTTTATTTTTAATTCCCGATCCCGGTCCCCCGTGACCACGGGTGCTGGAAAGCGCCCGAAACATCGGGAATTAATTCGTCGGGTGTTCGCGTAAATATAAGAAATCATTATATAGTTAAGTAGTTAAAAAGTATATTTTTATAAGCCTTTGTGTTCGAAGTTGAGGTGCCCATGAGCAGCAGTAGCCACTTGCCATCAGAAGAACTCTTAGATCAATCATCACTAGATTATTTCAGTATTTTTTATAGCATTGGGTAACAATCGAGCACACAGTCTACCTGATAGTAAGTGGATGTTGTGGCCCATGGACATCCACATTAATCTTCCATTAAGGATCAAAAACCCCTGAGGACTAAGTTGAACTGCCTCGATTCCAGTAAAAAATGTCTCCGGTTCTCTATCACCATATGAAAGTATGAAACACAACCGTATTATGCTGCAATTTTACGGTGGTATTCTGTGAGAGCGTGGTCTTTCCTCGGATTAAGTTTCATTATTGGAAAAAATTAATAAAGATTACTACAAATAACCCAATATAATGTTAAACGACATACGACCTTGATTAAAACTACTTTTACGGATTTTATCGCGTTTATTTTACTATTATTTTTATTCCCGACGTTTCGGGCGCTTTCCAGCACCCATGGTCACGGGGGAGATGACTGACGACCCGATGTCATTGTTAAACCCGGAGTACCTTCAGCTTTTTTAATTATTGTTTATGGTCCGATCTATGCAAAATGAACTGAGTATGTCCTGGGGTCTTGCAGTGGTCGTGGTGGCTTGCTTGGGTTTAGTTTTAATTTTATTGATTATATAATCCTAAGCAGGTGGTAGTACCCAGCTTCTTTCTCTATTGAAATTAGGATGTTTTTTAATTTCAATAGCCTCACGTGTGGTCTATCAAATCTGACGTAATGGTTGGGGCCATCTAGGATATGATCGCAAACTGCAGACTTCCCGGAACGTGCTGGAAAGCGCCCGAAACGTCGGGAATAAAAATAATAGTAAAATAAACGCGATAAAATCCGTAAAAGTAGTTTTAATTAATGTGTAGTGTTCGCCTAAATATAAGAAATCAAGACATACGACCTAATTTTAACTACTAATTGTATGTGGCAGCGGCAACATATGTATATTTTATAATAGATAAACGAACTTATAGCCCACATTCTGTACAGCCCTACAAACAATAGGTCTTCGGTTCGGATTCACTGCAGGATGTCGGCGTATCCTATCTTCTTCTTTATCTGCCCCTAAAATTTCAATGTTTGACAAGGGACTCTTCTATGAAAGGCGGAATTATACTTCTTTTTATGAGCGCTGGTGTTTACATCCTGAGACGTTGATGTTACAGCCCAGGCTCGGTAGCACTCTTGCTTATAGCGTGATGCTATCTATTTCACAGGAGCGACCAAACCATGGCTGGGATCTACCTCGGATGGGCACCACAGAGGGTGTAATAAAAGTTCCAAATCCTAAAGTACTACATCAGCGACAGGATCAGCAACAACGGTGGCATCGTCCGTCGAGAAACAAACCCGGCCCAACGGGGAGGATGCAAAAAAGGACCGCATCATATCCCAATCCGCTGTAAGGAGGGACTCTTTTGCGATGATTAAATCGTCATTTATCGAAAGCCATGAAATCTTTCACGAATATTCTAAATTCACTCACTTACGACGGCTACACTACGAAATGTATTGAAGGATTTCTACAGTAGGGTGGGGGGATTTATTGCGATGGTCTGGTTTTATGACCTCCTCGTACATACTGGTCAAACTAACTATATCCCCAAGCCTATAGAGCTAGTTCCGAAGTAAGGGAAGGACCACGCTCTCACAGAATACCAATGTAAAATAGCAGCTTAATACTGCTGTGTTTCGTATGGTGACTATAGAGATCCGGAGATCCTTTTTTACTGGAAACAGGGCATTCCGTCTTAGTTCTCAGGGGTGACAACGCATCTGCGTTTTGATTCTTAATCGAGGATAAATGTAGATGTCTATGGGCCATGGCATCCACTTTCCATCAGGTGGACTGTGTGCTCGTTTGTCACCTTTATTCTGTAAAAAAGTCGATGAATAGTTTTGACTTGGGACCGTTTTGTAGAGCGGTCTATAGGATATTGAGCATTAGATTTATGATGGACTGTAAAGATGACGCACATTGTCATAGAAAAAAAAGTCTAGGCTCTTAACTAGTCTGCGGAATATGATAAGATCATTCGAATCGTATACAAGAACGTCTCCCACGGGTTAGATTTAGTAAGCACTTTATTTTAAATTGTAGCAGGAATAACTAACTACTCTGAATACCGAATTCTAGATTATTAATAGGTCTGGGTAAAGAAAATTATAAAATATGAGATTAACCTGAACTAAAATGCAATAAGTGACAAATAATATTATTGTTACGAAAAAAAGTTACCTCAATCTAGGATTATTTCCATGTCGTAGAGGCGTTCATACAAACTTGATATCACGTGGATCCGCACCCAGGATAGGTATTTTTTGTGTTCCGAATAAGTATATACCTACATAATACTCTTAACCCGAGCATGAAACAAACTCGCGTCCCGTAGCACTGCAGCCAAACCCTCAGCTACAGCGCCACGTAGCCAAAATTGTGTTTGACAAATTGAGTATATTTTATTTTTAGATCTTCCTACAGAAGGGTGGCCAGCGAGCACACACTACACCTGATGGTAAGTGCATGCTGTGATCGAAGACATCTATTTACCCTCGATTAAGAATCAAAATGCATTGTCACGCCTAAGGACTAAACTTGAATGCTTTCTATTACAGCTTATAAAAGTCCACTGCTGGACATAGGCAGTATATGGGTTGCCCCATAAAGGGGATTTTGACTTGTTACCAGTAAAAAGGTTCTCCGGTTCTCGTCAACTATCATACGAAACATAGCATTATGGTGCTAGTCCGCGATGATATTTTGTGCGATTGTGGCCGGTCCACCGTCGTGGCCATTCATGCTTCAACCATAACAGCTGCACTGTGGCTCTACCACGTTCATATTGTTTAAAGTTTCTTTCATTTGAATGACTCCTGTAATACATTCAAGGTTTGTCCACTTATCACCACTGCGATACTACAAATGAAAATAAACTGATATTTTTTTAAGGATTTTGCGATTCTCATTCCACTGCAAGATTTTATAAAGATACTTACTAGCTTTTTCTGTTTAGTATGGACCAAATATTAATAATTTTAAACTGAAAGTAGTCGTAGAATTAGCACATCTCAGGCCGCCCGTGACCGTTGTTGCTGCAACTTGAAATATCGAGAATATAAAACAAGTGGATTAAACGAAAAATTGATAAAAGACTAATTTCATTCAACAGATATCTCATACTTGTTTTGTTATAAGTCGCAAACAAATAAGGATTCTATATCTCCTAGACTGCATGGGACCATACAATTTAATAGGTTTTTCTTTTAATTTCATTTTATTTTTATTTTCAGCCCCCATAGTCACGTGTAAGTGGTAAGCGCGGAAATGATCGCGGGTGTATACGTCTCTAACACTGTATTGAAAGTTTGGGGCGCCGCGCCGCACACCGACTTTTCCGCGAATTTTTTGTCGACAATGAAGAGGGATGTTGTTATTACAACGATAGTAAATGGCACTAGAAATAAGATATTGAATTCTTTTCCTTAATTTATTACATGAATATTAATTACTTAATAATTTTAAATATTGTCAGTGTGTTGAGTTTTTAAAATAAAACTTTTACTACACTTTTTAAACTTTATTTTTATTTATATTGTGTGTAATTAGTTTCTTTTAATTCTTAAAATATATGTAATACGTTATCTCGGAAATTGCCCTAAAGATTTGGCTGAAAGCGTGAATTAAGATAATCTTTCTTTCCAAGTTTTTCTAGTTAGGTGTCATCGCTTGAGAAAATCAAGTTTTTTTTCTTACATCTAGCAATTCTTGGTCGAAGAATTACATATAAGAAAAGTAAATAAACTCCATCAAACTTAACGATGAAAAATAATAAAAAAAATAGTAAAAATGTTTATTGAAAGAGTTTCAGTTATAAAGATGTTTCAGACATAAACTACTTTCAATTCTAATTTGTTTACCACGCTTGAATGACATAATATGACACATCCAGTAATTTTAAATTCGGCTAGTCTATAAACATCTCGCCACTTTATAGTTGGCATTTTATGAGCCCGACCGCCGCTACTCGAGGCCACGAATTAAGTACACTTCTATCCCACAATAGTCGGCTTCATTAGGCGACGTATGCCGCGCGTTAGGCGTGACGCCCTCCGACTTCCATTAGTCCCATGAAGTTTGCAATGAAAACACTCGTGTTCCAAGCTATATTTATTGTAACAATGCCTACTTATAATTTATGTTGTCGACAACCACGACTAAAGCCCTCACGACCGGCTCGCCTCCCACGCTGCGACTGCATTTTATTATTTCTCGCCGATTTTTCTGACGTCCATAAATCTATTGCACCAAGAGTGCGTAGTAAAAGTTTTGAAAAAAAAAATCAACTTCATAAAATACCAAAGCATAAAACATCTCAATACTCAATTGGGACACATTATAAATCCCCGAAACCGTACTTACTTATGTATGTTCCGACGGAATTTCCTCATAAAAGAAACGATCCACGAACTCGACAAATCCTTTGGCAAGAACATGAAGTAGGGCAGATCGTCAGACAAGCTCGATGCGACCTCCGAGCGTAGCCCCTTGTACCAACGAACGGAAGAAGCGTTATATGAAATTTGGTCCCGGGCGCCGCCCACTTTACTACGAATAGGAAATCCGGGAGCGCGGAGCGGTTACGCACAGTTACACGCCTGAGACCACCCCCCTCCCCTCCCACGCGCCCCTCCCCCCTACTTTGTCTCCTCACCGGTTACCGTACACCCTCCGGCTCAGCCGGGTTATGCCAATTCACTCAACGATTTATACACCGACAAAATTAAAGCAATTTTAAACGTTTAACAACGCCGGCTTAATTCGGACATGAAAATAACACGCATCCACTGAAAGTGTATTAACCGAAATAGCAGTTCGCATTCGCTTTTGCAGTAATAATCATACAAGGTACAATACACCACATGTAAATACTTTCGCGTAGCAATAACACAGTACAATGCGCAAAATTGGATTTAACATGGTTCAACAACCAACAGTCAACTCGTTCACGGTTTTCATATTTATAAACGTTGTGATGAATTGACTCTCGGATGTTGCTTTAATAATGAACTCAACGAACCTTTGTGGGGTTTAATTTTGTCTTCTTGTTCGTCTTTTTCTTTCTCCTCGTCAGACAGCATCGTGTCGTCGTCCTCATCGGTTTTGTTCTTCGGCTCCCACGTCATCTTATTCTCCTTCTTGAGGCGGCGACGCGCGTTTGCGAACCATGTGGACACTTGCGTCAGAGTCATTTTTGTTATGATCGCCAGCATTATCTTCTCGCCCTTTGTCGGGTAAGGGTTTTTCTTGTGCTCGTTCAACCACGCCTTTAGAGTTGCCGTAGACTCCCGCGTTGCATTCTTTCTCCTGGCTGCCAAATCGTACCCCGCTCCATATCTGTCGACAAACACATCTTTATACATATACCTAATGGGATAGATAAGTAACGCTTCCGGCCTAAAATATTCGCACAATCTCGCAAATTGCTAACGAAGTCAGTTTTTCACCACGCTAAGTATTATTACAATGGTGAAATGATGAAATAGTCGGTACATATTTAGCATTAAAGAAAGTATTGAAGTTTTTCGTTAAATGTTGACCTCGGTATTTGTGCAACTTTCACGTAGATTCAATTAATGTAAATATATTCACTTATTAGCAGCCGTATATTGAATATAATGTTTTGCAGTACTCCTATTGCAGTGAAACATGAAATCTCGTCATGCGTCAGGCGGCTACTACTGAACAATAAATTGGGGTTTTAGGTTCGTAACAGATAGGCGTTTTATTTGAGGCAATAGATTTCTCGTAATGGCAGCAAAAATAAAGCCAAAGTGGCACGGTGCGTCGTTTCATACTGTTTTTAGGGCTCGCGATTCCATTTGAATCCTCATTCCAAGCGTAATTGTGGCGAAACGTTCCGCTCCCCTCTGCACGTACCTGACTACGATTTCGATAACATGACAAAGGCGCGGTCTGAGGGGTCCAATAAATAGATTTTCCGCTGAGCAACATTTAAAAAACGTCTCACGTCAGGTGATGTTCAAGCAAATTGCGCCACACGTAGCGCTTTTTAAAGTTTAGTATTCGAAAAATTTAACCAAGGATTTACCTGACACAAGGAGAAAATCTAAACAAATACAATGTTCACTTTGGTAAACACGTTTTTATTTTTTAAATATATATCTTGCATTTAAGAGTAACTAAATGTGCGTATATAATTGTAATTTTTACCTAAGTTGTGTACTAGTGATTTGTTTGTAAATAATTTTCTAAATTCTACGGAGATATTTCTTAAATAATTTGATTGTTACCAATTATAAATATTTAGAGTTCGACAAATGCTTTAAGTTAAACGTTTAATGTCATTGCTCGGGTATCATTTCTAGGGCGAAATGAAAGATGGAAAACGTTGTCGGCACTAGAGGGCGGACCGCTGCACGTCGGTGCAACCTTGCATAGGGCGGTGCAGCGCAGGCGTGTTGGCGTGGGCGTTGTGGTGCGATCGATTGCGACGCCATCTTGCCGGACAACACCGGTATTACAAGTTGGACGGCCGACCGTTGCGGCGGCCTCGGATACAGCGGATTTTGCGGTTTGCGCTCGTATTTCGAATTATATGGGCGAAAGGATGTCTTGCCCTCGTAAATTTGGATTTAACCATAAGGTTAAATCCAAATTTACGAATCGAACATACAAATCGGACAAATAATTGTCCGATTTTAATTAGGTACGATTCATAATGTTGTGTATGTATTTCTAACTCTAATATAAACAATTACACAATATAAATGTTTTTAGTTACACCTGTTATAAATGCAGGTATCAAAAGTTGTTTCATAAGTTCATTGACGTGCTTGTATTAGTTTGGGTATATTTTTACTTGTTCCATCAAATAGGTATTCATTGTACTACGAGAAACATACTATCTACTGATATATTTAAATAAGATAATATACTATATATAATACACGTTTTATTTTTAAGGGAAATAAATTCTGCAATTATTATCTTCATACGCGATAGGATAAATGCAGATTACAGATACCTACATACAATGTTTTGAAGTTTTCTCATACCATTACTATAGTAGCCTATAAAAGTCCACTGTTGAATATATACCTCTTCCAGGGATTTCGCCATACGGCTGCCCCGTTTGGTAAGCTATTTGGAAACAGAAGCATTCTTAATTTTGTTATCAGGAAGACGCTGCTGTCTCATTTTCTCTCTGTCGTCTGCTACGACACTCACGGCTCGATGTGGACTAGTTAACTACACCGCCACTACACAGTTTTTCATATTACAAACCCCAATTATATTTTTTACAAAATGTTGCCTATCTTCATTTTAGTTTATATATGTATACTCTTATAGACTTTATATTTATAATTCTTAATTTTACTCTGTTTCATATAGATTTAAATGTTACTTTATGGATGTTGATGATGAATGAAACAAACATTTACGGATTTTATATGAGGGAGGTCTATGTCCGCTAGTGAACATGCTAAACGCTAAAGCTACAGGCTATATACGTCCCACTGGAAGGAATTGTCCCAATGAATTGTCCGCCGCGCTGCCTAAATGCGTGTTGACGAACTTCACATGTCTTCGAAATATTTTTTTCTTATTTCTCTGACATGCAGGTTTCCTCACGATGTTTTCCTTCACCGCCGAGCACGTGGTAAATCAGCACTTAAAATTGTAATTAACAATTTCATTCGTGCCGGCGGGGATCGAACCCGGTTTGCTCGCGTTCTGTGAAATTTACAGCGAGTGCTAACCATCTGAGCTACCACGGCTCTAGTGAACATGAGCCTCCCCCATATATTGTATCCTGGGGAGGATACTTATTTTTATATTCTAATATTATGAGCGATGATTCGAGTGCTGCAGCACCAATAAGTAAGAGATAAACTGAAGTATTCAATTAATTTTTTATACAATCATCATTAGCGCAAACTTAACATCAGGTGAACCGTATGAACCGTACGCTTATTTGCCCCTCTTCTATAAAAAAATAATATAAATGCTGAAGGTAGCCGCGTTTGCGTCACTTACAGACATCGTTAATATATGAAAATAAGTAAATATTTGATATCATCATCATCATCATCATTACAGCCCTTCACAAGTCCACTGCTGAACATAGGCCTCCCCCAAGTAATGCCACAAAGCACGGTCCTGAGCCACCTGCATCCATCGACTTCCTGCATGTCTTACCAGGTCGTCACTCCATCTAGTGGGGGGTCGCCCTACACTACGCCTACCGGTACGAGGCTGCCACTCGAGAACCTTTCTTCCCCATCGGTTATCGGTTCTTCGAGCTATATGGCCGGCCCATTGCCACTTCAGCTTACTAATCCGTTGGGCTATGTCGGTCACTCTGGTTTTACTGCGGATATCCTCATTTCTGAGTCTATCACGCAGAGAAACTCCGAGCATAGCCCTCTCCATAGCTCGCTGTTTATATAAATAAATTAAAATAAGTAAATATTTGATATAAAGGCTTTAAAAATACATTTTTTTTATGTACCTATCGTATTTTCGTTAAAATAAGAAATCGTTAGATTAAATTGTTATTTGTATTTAAATTGTTATTCAGTTGAAGTTTTATCATGATGTATTTACTAGATGTTTTTAATGTAATTAAGCAATATCAATCAAACTTTTTAGCATCATCATGGCGGCTGAACATAAATAATTTATGAAAATATAACGAAATATGTAACAACTAATAATGGATAAGTACTGAAACTCAACAGAGAAAACGTGTCGTTTAAACAATTTAAATTCCAAACACAATTAAATAGAAGCCTTGTGATGTATTAGTGTTTATGTCAAAGCGGTGTTCAAAGAAAGCCCCTGAAACCAAACCGCATTAGTTTGACACGAATAAGCTCTCGGAAATCAGCGGCGGTTAACGAAGAAAGAGCAACTAAAAACAAAGCGCTGCAAAGCTGAAGTTGTTTTGTAAAGTTAACGGCAGATCCGGTGAATTTGAAGCGCGGAAGCTGCTGAAAGTTGTGCGTTCTCTACGCTTACTAATTAATTTAGACAGCCCACTTATTCGTCGCGTCTCCTGCGTTATAGAATAATGGAATATCAGTTGTGCTATTAAAAGTATGTGGTTTTTATAAAGCCGTATTCATTTTATACGGTAATAAGACATATAAATATTTAAGTTTTTACATATAAATACCTCACTTTAGTACAAGAAGAATTAAATAGGCATAGAATAAAAGAAACCTGCCTAATGTGATTTTCAAGAATAAAAATACTTTAATTTTTTACACTTTTACACTTTACGAAAATCTTGGTGTTGCTAAAAATCGGGGCTAACAGTGACGGTACCTGACAATTTTTTTGTTATTTACTGTAACGTTACTCTCTAAGCATATTAAATTCAAACTTATTTAATAAACAAAAAGTTCTATATTCCAATCAACTGATTACAGTCCGACCAACCGTAACAGGAGATGGGCAGCAGCATCTTCGTGATAACAACTCAAAACACTGTAGTTGCCAACCGGCTCGCCAAGTGTGGCAACTATGGCAAAATATACTCAAGAGACAATCTATCGGGGAGGCCTATGTTCGGAGGACTTTTATAGGCTATAATGGATGGTTTGCATAGCCGTCTATCGACTTGAAAATTAATGAAAATGATAACTGGGTACATAAATATTTCCAGCTATTATTTAGTAGAGAAATTAAAAGATAATAATTATAAATAGGTGCTAACGGAGTTAATTGCGCCCTTCGTTAAAAAAAATCTAATGTCTCCCACTAACGGAAATACTCTGCGCTTGTTAATTTAGGAACGTAAACTAACAAGAACGTATAATAACACTCTAACGCAACTTTACCTTGCTTGTGTGTGTGTGCCCAACAAATGGCCGGATTAATTCGTTTTGACGTTTCCTGCATTCGATTATTCCAAAATTAAAACTTTCATGACTTTTAGACATACGTTATTTTAACGGTGGCTTTATAAATTTCAAGTTACATACATTTCTTCTTAGGCGGCGAAGTTATGACATTATGAGTGAGCGCTTGTGATGGTTGGATGTTTTATGTAAATCAAAATAAATTAGTAAAGACTGTTTTGATTTGAGATCTAAATATGGAAAAATAAAGTATATTCTATATTTTGTTTCATGTTTGTTTGTCTGTATCACAAATATGTTTAACGTATAATAAAATAATGCACGAATATTAGAAAAAGACTAAATTATATTATTTATACAAAAACAGAGTAAGGAATGATATATCAGCTTCTCCAATTATGCACACCTTACCTACACGCGATGCACTTAGCTGATGTAATTGATCTAGCTGATCTAAAAGCTACGTTTTATATTATACTAGCTTCCTAGGCAGACGTTGTTCTGACC